ATTAAGTTAGCTTTAATTTAAAGTCATACTATCCTAAACTTACTTATCATGTATTATAATTATCTCTTCTCTAAATAAACATTTTAAAACATAGTAAAATTAAAATAACACTAACAATTCACAGTATAAAACATGTGGTTTATTGTTAAAAATGGCTAGGTTTGTTGTGTGTACACACCCCTGTACACAATGAACCATTTGACATTGTTTTAAAAAAGTCGAAATTGTGGCTAAAAGCATGATCGTATGCTTTTAGATCATCTGCATATAAAAGAAATTTGCAAAACTTAAGGACTACTTTAACATCATTAATAAAAGATAAATAATAGCGGACCTAAGTGCGAGTCTTGAGATACGCCCGATATAGCATTTATAATTCTAAAAAATTCTTGAATTTGATAATTTGTGATCTATTCGTTATAAAACTTGCTAGCCACTTTATCATGTTTCTATCGGTACCAAATGCACGTAATTTATTTAATAGCAGGACGTGATCAACATTTTATTAAAAGCTTTTTTAAAGTCGGTATATAATATAACATTGGGAGCTCTCCTCAATAGCTGAGTTAATAAAATTGATACAGAGCGACAAACCCGTGCTGCTCATTAATTATTATATTTATTATTACATTTTTAAACAGTTTCGACAATTTGTTAGCAATAATATTTTTGAATATTTTCGGTATTAAATTTTGCTTGCTTATGGGTCTGTTTGGAAACTAACAACTTTTCTCCACCTTTAAATATTGAAGTCACAAAAGATATTTTCCAAGGTTTTGGAAAAATATCGCATGACAGCGATATATATCCAAACTTATTATATATCAGCCAAAGTACTCTAGACATAATAAAGTTGCAGGATTTCAAAAATATTACAGGAATACCGTTTGTGCCAGGACCCGAATTCAGTTGTATGGTATTAATGCAATGAAAAAGTCATCAATAGTTATGTCAATATTCAATAAATTTAGATCATGCTTATACAACACATCCCTGCTGTGCCCGTCAGTTACAGAGTAAACAGACTCGAAATAATTCGCAAAACAGTTAGCAATTGCCGAACTGTCATCAATATAGGAATCATTGTGATATATATACGTTATATTAGACGATATATTAGAACGGGTCATAGAATTAATAAAGTTTCAAAAGACCTTTACATTGTCAGACGTCGCATGCTCTGACTTCCGCACGTAGTCTCCCAAACATTTTAAAGAGAGAGATTTACATTGATTTCTTAATTCAGAAAAAATAAGATAGTCCGCATGTTGATTAGTATTGTTACGCCCTGGTCGCTTTGGCCCTGAATGAGTCGCTATTAGAAGAAGGCGTGCGACGTCTTTAGCAACAGGGTTACCTGGCAACGGGAAGAGAGAGTTCTCTCCCGGCTTTCTTGACGTTCAGGCGTGTTCCAGAGAATTGTAGAGAGTTCTCAATAAACGTTATATTTCTCTATAAAATCGAGAATGATTATTCTTCCGCGATCTCGGAAATACGCGGACGCATTCGCGAGCGCGCTTGCTCCTTGAGCAGAATGTAACAGTATTCTTAAACTGATGATGGGCAACTCTTTTGGCTTTTGTCAAGGAAATTAATTTCCCGGAAAACCATGCAAGATAAGGGGATTTACGCACAGAATACATTAGAACGTAGGCGGTTATCGCATAATTTAGATGCATAAGTATATAAAAAATTTACAGCATCGTTAATTTTGGGACACTTTAGCTCATTACCTCACAAAATGTTTCCTAAATAATCGTTGATGGCTACATAATTAGCCCTTAAAATTAAATTTTCATTCAACATTTGATGGGAGAGATGATCCCGTCGACATTGGCAAGTATAGGTTGGTAGAACCGAAAGATGTAACTATAACATATAAGTTGGTAGAGTCGGAAGACGTAGGTTGGTAAGACGAAAAAGCGCGGGCAGTCGGCAGTCGGTTAGAAAAAGGAGAAGAAGACGACAGCGTGTGAATAAAGATTGATATACGTGACGAACAGTGTCTTAGTTAATAAATCTTTTAAAGCCCAGTTCAACAGTGGCCAGTTAGCTTAACTAGTAGTTAAGTAGTGATGCCAATTACTGAAACAAAATTCGGTGAGCTGTTAACAAGGTTAGATTTTAACAAAATTTGGTGGAGCTGTTTACAAGGTTAGATTTTGACAAGTTGCATTTTCGCAAAATACATGAGTGAAATATTGACATATATATATATATATATATATATATATATATATATATATATATATATATTGCGACGCTAATTTCTCTATATGATTTTCCCCGGGCCGTGAGGCGGGACGGAATAGCGTAGCGAAGCTATGATCGGGTGGCAGAGCGGATCTCGAAAGCGATACGAAACAATGTTGGGCGCCAGGTGTGGATACGGCCACACCACCGTTTACTCTAACCCGCGAAAAGTCGACATGAACTCTACAAAGATCCGACATAAACTCTAATTATCGACACAACTCTTAATTCACACGTCATGACACATCCGCTCTGGCCGATCGCATCGACTGCTCAGGATTGTCGTTAAAGGGTCGTGGTCCTTACATAGGCTGAATGCAGAGGGGTTTGACCTTGGCGAGGCGAAACAAACACAAAAGAAAGTACTCAAGTAACATGTAAATCAAAATATAATATAAGAGCAAGCTGGATCATAGCGTTACAACTTACAGGGCGCGAGCGAATTATTCACCGCGATCATTCGCCGTTCCCCGACCACGCAAGGTCTTTCGAAGGGTCCGCGCGTTGTAAATAACTCGGACGCAGAACTAATATTCTCGGAAAACGTACGTGTAGCTTGTACTCGCAATAAGGAACTCTCTACGCTAGGGAGTACGCGAGGCGCAATAATCTACTCCAACGGAGTAATCCCCGTCAGGGATAATCTACGCGGTGAAATGTGCGAAACATAATAATATGCGCCGACGAGCTAATACACGCAAGAAATAATCCACGCGGTGAAAGGCACGGCCGTAGTAATGACGACGAAATAATACACGCAAGAAATACTCGATGAAATACGCGAAAAGTAATAATATACGCTGACGAAATACTACACGGAAGATCTACGCTATGAAATACGCGAAAAGTAATAATATATGTCGATGAAATAATACACGCAATCACGAAATAGTACACGCGATGAACTACGCCGAACGCCGTAATAAAGGGTAACAGGAGCGCGAAAACTAATATCACCTCAGACGCGAGACTCTCCGATGAAATAAAAAAATAAGTGTGACGTTATGTGTTCCATCAGTTCTAGCGTAAGGCCAAATATGCCCCAATCCTGAGATCCATCATTAGGACCATATCCACCACGTCACACCGACTAACTAAAATGACTCTACTCTATCTCTGCGCGACCAATTACTGAGAATGACTCTACTTCAACGTACGCGAACGGAAAGTTCTCGGGAACAACCGCTACACGCGAAAATTCTCGCCAAAGGAGCAATATCCACAAAATAAGGACTTCTCATAGAACGAACGGCCCACGCAAAATAAAGGTTTCTCTCTGAGGGGACGAGACATAGTCGGGATTTCTCGCAAAAGTTCTCGCTACATAAACGATACGCGCACAGTTCTCGCTACATAAACGATACGCGCACAGTAATTTCTCGCAAAAGAAACGATACGCGCACAATAATTTCTCGCAAAATAAACGATACGCGCACAATAATTTCTCGCAAAATAAACGATCTGCGCAATATAACTCAAGGTTTCTCGCAACCTAAACGATATACGCAAAATAAAGTCCCTCGTAAACTAAACGATACACGCAAATACAACTCAAGGTTTCTCACAAACTAAACGATACACACAACATAGGAGTTCTCGCATAACACCCCTCGAAACGTAACGCGAAGCCTCGCCGTACGGTCCACACCGCGAGCACGTGATACCCACGCCTAATTCAGCCCGGGGCGTGCGGTACTCTCAGCCGGAGTAAATCTTACTCTCAATTTCTGACCGTTAATCGCGGTCGATTTCGGGCACCTTCTTCGAGAAGGCTGACTCTAAGTCCGGTATGCCGACGCCTCACACTTCCCGTACCGGGCGCGGTAATTTACGTATCCCGGAGGCCGACCCGCCCCTGAACGGCCGGACGCGCGGAAAGCCCGCACGACGAAATTTTCACTACGCGAGAACTAACTCTACTGGGGACGCCGATATCTTACACACTAATCGATAGGCACGATAATCATAAATGGTAATCTCCGAATACTCGAAACGGTAATCTAACGCGACGGACTGTTGAGTCGACCTGCGAGGTTTTATCACGCGACACGCATCACCCTCGTGACGGGCGGCCGCCGCCGCACCGTTCTTACTATCCGATCCCAGGTTGGTCGAGTCGGAAAGAAACGGACGCCCCTTCGATATTCTTACGGGGAGTCAGCGGGCAGGCTATGTCTTACCCGTAGAAACGAAACGAAAAGCGATAATCCTCTCAATGAATTCACGGCAATGGCGCGTAGGCAAGGAAACTCTCAAGCAAGCCTACGCGTCTCTCTCAAAATCTTACGCGACACGATACCGACACTCCGCCCGCCGTTCCCCGATACTTGATGTCCGGGATGGGTGGCTGGTTACATCTCGTCCTTCCTTCCTTCCTTCAATCTATCTCTTAGGGCCGCCGCCCTCGCTTATTGTCTCGGTACAACTCTCCTCGGACGTCCGTCCACGCTCGCGGTCTACCCAACAGTCTCTCGATCATTCCCGCGGCTTCGACTCGCGGCCCTCTAGATCAGGGCGCTTCACCGCACCGGCGGATGGCGCCACGCTGTCTAAACGGGCCCTCCGGCCGCTTCTTCCTGAAAACTATAAACTCGGCAGTACGCGCGCAATACAAAGATGGGAATGGGGAAGACTGTGACGTGCACGCGGTGCAACGTCACAATATATATTGAACACTAAAATAATTAATTTCCAGCTTTGTTTTCATTATGATATCTCATCGCATAAAGAAAATGGATATCAAAACAAACCGAATATGAGCACCAAATTTTTCTCAAGATGAAAAACTGGTACTTGTATCATTAATAAAAAAATACAAATTGATAATAGAAAATAACCGGACTGATGCTGTGAGTGTTAGAGACAAAGAAGAGGTTTGGCTCAAGATATTAGACGAGTATAATCAGCAAAGCAACTGTCGCCCTCGCGAATTAGGAAACATAAAAAACTTCTGGATCAATGCTAAGAAGGACGCCAAGAAGTTGTATGCAAAAAATAAAAGAGAAACATATGTCACAGGTAATTTAATTAACGGTTACGAAAGATACTTTATATCTTTCGTAAATAAAGCTTTTATTCGCGAATTATTGAATATGGTGGAGTCATGAGTCGCTCCAGGCCAGCGCGCTACAATGTCAATAAATTCTAATCGTGCATTTACCACAGCTTGCACATTTATTGAAAAATAGCCCTTTCTATTTCGATATAACTCTGCTTTTTCTCCACCTAATACAAATAAAACAAAATTAAATTAAATGTATTAATCAAATATGAATCATTGTGCGATACATATATTTGAATGTTTGTAGTTACCATATGATTGGACTCGTACGTGCTTACAATTTATAGCTTCTATGACTCGAATAAAACCAGACACTTCAAAAAATTCCCCTTGAGCTTGGCGTATTTGGTCAGGCTGTGCAGGAAATCTAATGAAATCCTCACTCAAAGTTGCAATTGCTGGGGAAACGCGATGCACAATCGTATGAGCCGAAACTTTACTTCTTCCGCAGAAATCTCCCACCGTGATAAAAAATGATCCAGTTGCGTAGAATCTCAGTGCAACCAGTAACTGGATCATTGGAGAAATGGCATAATTCCTATATATATATAAGATAATAAATATCATTATTGAAGATAATGAATCATTAAGTTAAATACTTTTCAAGCATTTTATCATAGAACCATATGTTTATAATTTTATATACATACCAGTTAGTAAAATGTTCTAATTGGTGATGAATCCTATTGAGCAACATAGTAACACTTTGCTTTGATAATCGGAAACGATCAATAAATGCATTTTCATCTAACTCCTCAAAATAATTAATGCGCAGTCTAATCCTATGGTGTAATTGCAAAATTCTTGGAACTCTTGCGTCTTGCTCGATTTCCTCGTTATCCTCAGCATATAATAAATCCCACACTCTTTGCATGCTGATACTATAGTTATTTGTGTAACAAGTGAGGTAAGATGAAAATTCCCGGGTGCGGAGTTTACACACGACTTACACTCCCTATTTTATGTTGCAAGTGCCTGGAAAGTGGTCTATCACGCACGCGTAGCGTGCATAATGGGGCACTTTCCATGCACGTGTTGCATAAAAAAGTATAATACATTATCAAATTTTTTGTTACAAATTAATTTTTACATCCATTCATGTTGTTTTTCCAAAATACAATTGAAACTGACTATTGACTTACATTTTGATATAACGTTATATTGCAGCACTCTCAGAATGTTATTTCCTATTTTTAAAACTCTTAAACTACCTTTGTTGCTTATCCCCGCAGGGATTGCAAGGCGTTTTTATAAAGAACGTTACACAAACCTTTACACTACTACCCTTTCTCCTCTCACTTTAACCCTTTGGACCAACGGCTTAACGTCTCTTTCCGAAAGACGGAACCCAGTTTGCTCCGCACAAGAGCCTATCTTGCACGGAGGGGCGCAGCTTCGGAAAAACATTCCATGTTTGCATGGCTCTAGTGGACTCGAACCTGGTTCCTCAGATTACGAGTCTGGCGCTCTACCATTAGACCACACTGCCGCCCTTATTTCCTATTTTTATTAACAGCAAAAAAAAAACAATAAACAATATATATACCTTTGCTAAAATAATCATGAAAAAATGGAACAAAAATATTAAATATAGTAAAAATAAATTACATTTATTTACAAAATTTATATATTTTCAATATTGTCAAAATCTAACCTTGTAAACAGCTCCACCAAATTTTGTTAAAATCTAACTTTGTTAACAGCTCACCGAATTTTCAGTGGTTGGCATCACTACTTAACTACTAGTTAAGCTAACTGGCCACTGTTGAACTGGGCCTAACAATCTCAGAAATGGGATCTGACTTGGATTAGTCCTGATATAAAGAAGACCAGTAGTACGCGTGCATCGTCGAGTGACGTGTGCGAAATGATTGGTAAGATATCGTTTGGTGACGATTCGCAGGATATATATCGTTTGGTAATGACTTACAGGATATCATTCGGTGACGATTTCGGGAGGCATTGCTCGGTAGCAAATCCGGCGTAGAAGAGACTGGAACCGACATCGTTTTAAGGCGTTGTTATTTGTGTGCGTTTATTTCTCCAGTGTTAGGTCAAATCTCCGTCGAGACAATGAATTTTAGACTTGCTTTGTAAATGTAAACGATTTTATTGTGGAGCGATGTGTGTGCGTCTGAATGCTAATCCGCCATCTTACCAACTAGTCTCCCTCGGAGCGGGAACTCGCGCGCTTTTGTTACCGTGCGTAACGCCCTCTATTGGACTCGCTCTCAACTTAATCAACATTTTGCCCGCCTTGAAAACTTTAATTTTCAACAAAAATATATAATGCGCTTGATAAAAAATAAACTTAGAAGCTAGCACGACATCGCTGAAAGACATTACAAATGGAATTCGAGTGAAAAATCGTAATTATAATGAACTTATATATGTAAACTTATATCTTAAATAAACTAAGAAACTGGTAGAATACAGATTTTGGGTAACGTTTGCTTTACAATTAGGCCTGCAACTCACCCCGAAATTTGTTACCGAACCGGCAACGACGAGATAACCAGCTCTAACTATGAAATATCAAAAGTACATCGTGTGACAAGTAAATAAACGAAAGTTCGCTAAAGTTCGCGTGTCGGAACAATACAAAATGGCGTCTTGAACATAGAGTACGGTAGAATTCTTCTCAATTTTTTTTCACATATTTGGCTTAATAAAATTTAAATTATTAGTATCGAATTTTATTCAGAAAAGTGTAAACTTTAAGAATATGCATTATAAAATAGTTAAATATATCATTAATACAGTGTGGCAAAAAGTCAAATTTTTCGATATTTTTTGTATATTTTCTCTAATAAAACACGCCATAACTTTTTTGTGGTTAACTTTTCGACAAAAATGTTTAAACGAAAGTTGTAGAGCGTACTTTTTTACGGAAACAACTATAATGGTAGATACAATGATGTTTAAACGTACGTGAAGAAATGCACGAGGTTGTTGCGTACTATGGCGATCCATTCCATAGTCATATTATACCTAAAACTTTGAATACATTTGTGTTCGAGATTCCCTTAACGTTGCGCCGTCCAATCAGATGGCAGCATCGATCGGGTAACGACGCTCGATCGCCGCGGCAGCTTGCGCCCGCACGGGCGCGCTCATCGCCACCGTCTTCCTCGCGATCGAGGCAATTGTGCAAATGGCCGCGCGGTGACAAGTCGCATTACGTGTGCTCAGTGCATTTCGATAAGTTGCTTCGGGTAATCGTTCACATCGTAGTACCCACGCTGTTTTAGATTGCATCATAGACTGTGAAATAGACCGCTCATTAACTCTGGTGCCTCAACACGACGACTCAAGCTCACACGCGCGCGAGTGCCGATCGCCACGTGTCTCACCGGCTCACGGGCGACTCACCACACGAGAAGGGCAATTAATGTAATTGTCGCTCGCCTGCAACGATCATACACAGAGGTTTCTTTTGTACACCGCTCATCGATTCTCAGGTCAGATTGTAATAATTTTCGATACATTAAAGACGGCTCAGACTGTGGTCTGAGTTACATAAAATAAAGTGCATATTCAGTTAACACCTTCCACGCGCGTCCTTCTCATCCCGCTTCCATCGCCGGGATTAAACAGCGATTTCGCGAACAATTTGTTTTCTTAAGTAGTAAAATGATTATGAACTAACCATTATTGTTATTCTTACTATTAGGACAAGCCGGTCGTCGTATGGTGTCACTATTATTATTATTATTATTATTATTATTATTATTATCATTATTATTATTTTATAATTATTGTCAGAGCTCTTAATGCTCATTTCCTAGTCATTGAAATTCTTGATCTAAAAAAGTACGGATGGCAATTAATTAATGGAAAACTGATTCCCGTTTATTTTGAAGGTCCTACAAGTTTTCAATTACTACAAAAATATATATGTAACTGTAGTTCAAAAAGTTTTTATTGCAGAACATCTATTTCATGTCCTTGCCGTGCTGCTGATTTGTCCTGCAGTAAAATTTGTAAATGTACTGGAAAATGTAGCAATAATTCAAATGACGAGGGTAAGGATGATGAATAAGTTTCTTTAATATAGAGTTGTGTGGGGTGATGTGCAACGTTTCCGATTCCTGGTCTGCATGTCGACATTTGACAGAACCGCATACTGCCATGTGTTTGTGTCGACAGTACCTTGTTTTAGATAAATAACTCGCGAGATAGCACGCACCCTGGTTTGCTGTACGAAAAACGAGTTAAATTTCTCGAGCTGAAAGTTTTTTTTGCTTTTCAGATTCAAAGTGATTTCGTGAATTGGTTTTAGTTTTATAGACAAATATTTTTATATTGTTAGTTTTTCAAGTGCTTTTGATAATCCAAAGCGATTTTGTGATTTCCTTACATTATGTTGGTGTCACGCCAGTCCGCGCAAAATAGCGTGTTTGGGGTGATGTGCAACACTGTGTCGACATGCAAGGTCGCAACTATTTTACTTGTGACAACTGCGATTCAGAAATGCGATGATAAAAAATAAAGTTTTTTGCGTTTTTCCTTTTATTATATTAATTTTTAAGCGATAAATAAATAAGAAATTAAATAAAGAATGATTTTTTTGTGAAATTTCCATTTGTCAGAGGTCGATTACAACACTGAAATTTTTTGTTCACCAGATTTCGATTAATTTGTATTTAAGAAGCCCAAATTTAACATTTAAGTCGATTGATGTCGATATTCATGCATTTTTTACCTTAATATTACCTGTGTTGCACATCATCCCAAGAAAATTTGAAAATGCTAAAACAAACGTTTTTAGTATTTTCCTTCCTCTACATTATACAGCCATGATATATTGAAGAATTTGATTTTTGGATGTTTCCCGAGCAACCAAAAAAAGTGTTGCACATCACCTCTATTATATTAAAACATAAAAATTAAAGAAACTTCAAAAATGTAAAAAAAAAAGTAAATAATAAAAAGTACAAAAAAAGTAAATTAAAAAAAAGTAAAAAAAAATGCACTTTTAAAGTCCAACTTTTATTCTTCCCGTAGTATTGTGCGTAAGTAGATTTATGATTGAAACTAAAAGAGCTCTGGCAATAATTATAAAGTAATAATAATGATAATAATAATAATAATAATAATAATAACACAGGACCACAAAAAAATTTTTTCGGAGAGCAACTGGGACCGCAGTAGACGATTTTTATAGATTTTGGGTAGCTAAAATCGAAACAAGGCCCCATTTTGCTCTAACACGTCAGGATTTTTAAGAAAGTAAGGTTATGTAGGTGAAAAACAGCGATTTTTGGCGGTGTAACAGTGTAATTGACGGTGGAGGGGGGGCACACACATACACTCTGAGCAGAGAGGGTTTGGAGTCGGTAAATACCGTAAAAATGACG